AATTATTTTCCATTTGGGCCCTTATTTGTAATTATTTTCACTTTTCGGGCCCCTATATGTAAATTCCCCAAAATTTTTTTTGGTGAGATTTCTGATGAATTCTTTAAGCTATTAAATGCTGAAAATTCCTTAAAGGATGGGAGTGTCAGATTCCGTTAATATTTCATTTGTCACATTATTGCATTAAATAATAACCTGACAGCGTGCAAAAGATTAAAAACAGTTATTGTCAGAAGCGAAGCGGAGGACTTATAAATTCCATGCAAGTTGATATAGGAGTTACGTTTTTGATGTATTCAATATTAAAATATCAAAAACGTAATTCCGAATTTTAGGTCGTCCAATCACATGGCATGAATTTTTTCCTTTTCCTCCAAATGATGTCCCCTTATCGTTATGGGTTTTGATTAGTTGATTCTGCATAACTGAGAATAACCGAAAAACTTCTATATCGTGCATGTGAAAATACCACCGCGCGAAACTTATCATTATAGTAATCAGAATATACGTATGTAATAAATGTATCATGATTTGAAATATTCCATAGGAAAATTTCCATTCATGTAGAATAGAATCTAATTTTGGGGATGTGATTTGATATTAAAATGATGAAAAACATTACATATTTACGTATTATTTGACAGGAAATTTTAAGCTGGAGGTGAATTTATTAAAGAAATTAAAATGATATCAGCGCAGTATGGAATCATTGGCAAGATTGGCCAGAACGACGATGATATCTTGAAAAGTTTGCAACAATTACTGTGCTGTAGGGTTGATCAACAAGTGGTTTCTCGTCTCCAAAGTAAATTAGCTATTCGTAGAAATAGGTGAGTAGAGAAATGGTAGAATATGTGGTTATTCACATTGGGTGGATCAAGAATTTTTTCGCTATATTTCGGGTTTAATACTGAGGGTTTCGTGTTCATGCTTTGGTGTTTAAATAAATGTCCCATGTTTTTTTTAGTATTCATTAAGCATTTAACACTTTCATTATTCCTGCGTTATTAACACTTGCCGCTACATTATTCGCATAAGATTCTCAGCCTCCAATGGGATTCAGTACTGCAGATAATATCGTTCCATATGTTGTGTGGCATGGGCATGGATGCTTCTCTTTTCCATAATGTAATCTCTATCGTTCCACGTGAAAAAGGGCTTCGGTTTACCTTTTATATAATAAGCTAATTAGCACATTGATGAGTTGTTTATTTATAACCAGGGTACTCAAAATAATGATAAACGTTATATTCCGTTATTCTTAATTCATCTTGTACTAACTTAGGACATAAAGATGTACTTAAAATAAGGTATTTAGGTTTTAATCTTTTAATTTGGTGAGTATAATGATTATTAACCGATCAATGTGTTCAAGAAAATTATTCATTTTGTTAATACAATTGATAGTTCAATGAAAACTTTTTTACAACTATTTTTTTTTTTTCGTATTTAAAGTTTATTTAAATGCTGCTATATTGTAGATTCTAAGCAGATTAAGGTCGTTGAATTGGAATAGCTCTGATTCTGATGAACAGGTGAACATAATCAAATTTAGGTTAGTAGGTTCGTGATTTTGTAATCTCAATATATGTTCAATAGGTGGGTTCGTGAGTTTAATAGTAGGTAGATAGGTAGTAATTTCGGCAGTGAATGATCTTAGGGATGGGTAGATTAATAATTTAAACGGTGGTAGGCATTTGATTTCAACTAAAGATTTGAATCAATAAGTTTCAAGTGTCTTTTGGCCAACGGATTCCCGATTTGTGCTATTATTACTATAGATGTTACTGATATCAGTGTAATTGGTAATATATATATATATATTTCAATCAATATTTAAATTTAATAATATTCATTTTTTAGGTGATTATAGGAAACTTCAGGAACTGATTATTTTAATAGAATTGAGATTAACAGTAATGTGGGTTATGATTTTAAAAATAAACGAGTTTATAGTTTTAGCGGTGGACAATTTCATGATTTCACAAATGGATGGATTTACATTTAAATAGTGAGTGAGGAACTTAGGTGCCTAACAAGTTGGCCCACATTAGGGTAACGTTAGCAATAGTTCTGTTCAATTTTGCTTCGGACTTACACTGTTTCCAGTTCCTAATTTATTTAGAAATTGTTATTAATTTCCAATATTTTTGATATACAGTATACATTAATAATTATTTACTTTCTAAAGAATTTTACTTTACGATTGACCCAAACCAAGAACTTATAACATTTGCCAAGAGAAGTACTTTTTGTTCTCAGATAATACTATAACGACTACAAAAAATCCAGGTTTTCTGTTATTTATTAATTTATTCGTTTTTTTTTATGTGGGACAAGAACTTTTTTTAATTGTTTTTTTTTTTTATTAAAGAAAAAATAATGATCGTAAACAAATATTTTTAAACGCATTGCGAAACCAAGTTTTTATGACTTTAAATGCCGAATAAATAAGTAAAAACTTAATTAAATTGTAAGAACGACATCAAGATGCAAAATTTATGTAAAACCAAATGAGTGAAACCAGAATGTCTAAAAATAATTTTTTTACATTTGTTTATAGCAATTGCTACAAAATTACTTTGACCATCCATAAGCTTGGTTCATATATCATTTAATTCATCTTCTCATTGCTTTCCATACATCAAAAGAAACCATTCGTTATATTTTTATATGGAATTAGAAAAGAAAAGCACGGGATCAAATATTCATCCAACAAAAATATGAAAAAAGATCTCAAATTGATAATTCATACTAGTTGTGAAACAGATAGATTTTTTCGTGTGGCGGCTCTCTTATCATCAGTATTTATATTTCTATGAAAAGAAAATCAATAGATTCTGTGAAAATCTTTTACTTAGAGCTCAAAAGGTTCTCAATCGACATGTGAATACATAGATCTTAATACAGTAAAGATGACGTAAATAAGCCTGATATTTTTTACTTTTGTGCTAGTGCTGTTAATGATGAAAAGTGTTTCTATAGAATTTACTAAGTCACCTGCTCATGTCATTATTTTTGAAAGATTATTACGAAGGAAATCGTGATCATGTTGAAAAGTCACTAATGTGTTATGGATGTTATCCCGCTTCGTGTAATGTAAAATATTTTTTCAAATAGATTAATTTTTTATAAGCTAAAAAAATATTAATAACACGTTTAATTGGTAGTGTGACCATTGATGGGAGAGCTTAGGAAAATTATGTGGATAGAAGGCCAATTTAACTCCAATGGTGTACTGGGAGATAAAGATAAACTTAGAGAAACGAAGGAAGTCGTTTATAACTGTCTGAGGTCTATTGAGACAATATGACATTATGAAACGAAGACTTTAATATTACTAGGGGTGATAGTGGGGTGATGCAACTACAGGTGATGCTGTTAGGGATATCTCAATAAGGATGGTGAGGTAAAAGTGGACGATAATAAAGTGATGTCGGGATAACTTTAAGTCCACGTGAGGGATTAACAGGGTCGAATAACCAATCGTAAGTCTCTTTCTCTACTACAATTCTCGCAAGTCACTAAGGCGAATGGCAATATCTGATTCCACAAATGTTCTAGAATCCGAGTCTTAATAAGCCAAATCGAAGTTACAAGTCAATTCAGTCCGTCGAATTGAGTCTCGAAGGGGTTACAAGTTGAATTCAAAGTAACACACAAGGGAATATTCAGATAAGTATATATTTTATTCAAGCGGATGGAAAACGATTTATTTATTAATGATGAGATGGAAGAAGTTATACTTTATTACTTGATACGGTTGGTCTTTAAATATATTTTAGATTTTGGGACGTTTACACGACTACGGGAGCGTTTACACCACTACTGGGATGCTTCACCCCCACGGCGATGTTTACACACCCATTCCTTAGTCATTCTCGTGTGATTATGCAAGTCAGTGCTTGTAACAGGTTTAAACGGCTGCGTTTCACCCTCACGGTCGCGTTTACGCGACCTGCATTGCATAATATTCATATGATTAAGCCAAGCCAATCCATCATTACCATTTTAGTATGCAACCCGAAAATGTGTACCAGGTTGCGCTCCGGATGATCACGTGATACTCCGGAATGAATATCCGGAAAATTTTTG